CCTTCTTAATTTATGATTCGTCAGCCGACTGGAATGAATTGAGAGTGAGAGTAGATAAGAGTTAATGATCAAGGTAAAATATTACGAATTTCATTTTCAAACAATCAAGTTCCATACCCAGTTTGACTCTCATTTTTAAATGTTTGGTATTTGTGTCTCTTGAATATTTGTAAATCTATCTAATTGCAATTGAGACGGATTGATTCATACATTTTACTTCATCTTATTTACTTGGCTTTTTACAAGAAAGATATTTCAATCAACTAATTTTCTTATTATTAATATCTGTCACCAAATTTTGATAACAATATAAATTTCCAATTATTTATGTTTCAGTTGTTAGAAAACGTTTGCTTTGGTATGCAGCTCATCAACATGCCCACCAGTAAATGACCCAAAAGAACAGACACCGTATATATGCGCAGCTCCAATAAAGGTGTGTACATTGCAGTTTGTGGTTTCACATAAAAAGTTAATTATGAAAGAGTCAATTTGATTTTGGATTCTTTTGTTCCAGTACAAGTACGCAAATGATTCAAATGCAAGCTATTCGAAAACAGGCAAAGCTTCTTTGCAGTTTCTGCTTATAAATCAGCGGGCTGATTTTTCCTTTGCATTATTTTCAGGCGGGTTGTCAAATGTGAGTTCACATGTCTCTATGTCCGTTCTTCCTCATCATAGATTTTCTTACATGTGTTAATACATTGCCATGATTCATCTCATATCCTTTATTTCATTCCTCATTTTTATCTTCAGGAAATTTTGTTGTCAGTTTCAAGAGGGTTAATTCTGTTCTTGGGTTTTGCAGCCTAAATTAGTGGCAGTTTCAAATTTCATATCGTTTGCCAACCCTAAAGCACCCCTTTATCCACGCATTGCTAATGGGAAGTTGTGGGATGAAGTAAGTAGGTTTCTATTGATATGAGCTATCATTGTTTTGTGAAGTTTACTTTCATTAATTATTAGTGCTGAAGTAAATTGGTAGTATGTCCCATGCTCACGTCAAGGTTCCTATAATATCTCTCTAAGTTTAGAATTCTTAGTTTATGAAGATCCAAATTTGCTTATTGACTATGTCCTCTGGGAGAAGTTTGTTTTACACATAATCTCTTCTTTTACTTTTGGAAGACGCCAAATGGTGCTTTTAAAGATAATTATTTTCCTGAATCACGTAGTAAGACTTTGCTAAATTAGATCTGTCACTAATAAAAAACTCTATGTTTGAACAAAAATTGTACTGTTGTTAAATTTGCTTTATGGGCAATTGTATATCCTATATGTGGTTCAGCTCAGTGGACATGTAATAGCTATTTATATGGATGCTGTTTTGTATCTTGTGTAGATGACTGTAACCTGGACAAGTGGCTATGGCATCAATGAAGCTGTTCCATTGGTTGAATGGGGTTTGAAGAATGATGTACAAACTCAGTCACCAGCTGGGACATTGACATATTTTCAGAATGACATGTGTGGTAAGTAATATCATAGGCAAAAATTTTAATAGTCCTACAGTCAAGGCTTTCATGCAACTGACTCGCAGTAATCTCCTAGGACTAGCTCTGTACACATTGATGAATAGTAATTTTTCACACGTGTGTTGCATTTTTAAATTACGCTGGCCTGTTGCATAATCTGGTTACCTTGTTACTCTGCAGGTTCACCTGCACGAACGGTTGGCTGGCGTGATCCTGGTTTCATACACACAAGTTTCTTGAAAAAATTGTGGCCTAATTCTGTGTATGCATCTTGAAGATGCATAATCTTTTTATGTATAAATATTGTAGGTTGAAGTGGCATTTATTTATTGTTGCCATGATGGTTTTTCAGGTATACATACAGGATGGGTCATCGCTTACTAAATGGTTCTTATATCTGGAGCAAGTACTATTCATTCACATCTAACCCATATCCTGGACAAGACTCTTTACAGTGTGTCATAATGTTTGGTGACATGGGGAAGGTAGTATTGACAAGCCTCTACAGAGTGACTTGCTTTATTTCTTGTTTTGTGGTTGATATATCAAAATAAAGACAATACTATTATTAACAAATTTATCAAGTGGTTTCTGTTTAGTGGTGAGTTAACTGGCACTTTTTTGTGTATACATGCCCAACAAAGAAAAATTGTTAATGCAGTATCTTTTTCTTTCTTTGTGAGGTCACTTTTTAAAGGGAATTTGTCTTTTTTCAAATTTCCTGCATTTCAAGTATCTATCTTTGTGAGATTTTGGCCTTAAAATCACGTTCCAACTATAGAATACCTTGGTTGTTGGAGCCTGAGGTAGTACTTAGTGGCTAAATAGAGCTTTATTTCTAGTTCATCATTATATAATGGTCAAACCTCAGCACTCCCCTTTTAGGTTTTCATTCTTTCATGAATAGTGTACTCAATCTATCAACACTCTACTTTTTTACATCAACCTGATGGCAGAATATATAGGTACTGACCAGTAACAGTAAATTTCTGTAATTTTTTAATTTTGAACATTGGGGATGACAACATGATTTTCAGCTATCGTCTGTTAATTAATGAATAAAGTAGCATTTGTCTTACTTAGGATGCTTGAGAAGACCTGTTAAGGATTTACTGCTAAGAAGCAACTCAAGAAAGCCCTTTTCTCGCTCCCTTACATTATTACTGCTGTCATTTATTCTTATAAGAAGGACACAGGTTAACTGAGTTACTTAAAGATTTGTGCTTCTTCCAACTTTTTTCAGGCTGAGCGTGATGGTTCAAATGAGTATAGTAATTATCAGCCAGGTTCACTAAACACTACAGACCAACTCATCAGGGACTTGAACAACATCAACATAGTTTTCCATATTGGAGATATTACATATTCAAACGGCTATGTTTCTCAGTGGGATCAGTTCACAGCCCAGGTAGAACCTATTGCATCAACAGTGCCATACATGGTTGGAAGGTTTGTTTTCTTTCATGTGAATCAGCTTCATGTCATTTGAAAATAGATCAAAGCTTTGAGTGACAGCACTGACAAACTATAATGTGTTTGATTTCTTCTGCAGTGGTAATCATGAACGTGATTGGCCAAATTCAGGATCTTTCTATGACACTTCAGATTCAGGTGGTGAATGTGGTGTGCCAGCAGAGACCACGTTTTATGTTCCTGCTGAGAACAGAGCGAAGTTTTGGTAACTAACATACATTTTTCTCATATAATGTAAAAACTAACTATTGGTCATTAGAGACTTAAGCATGAATAGTATTATTGAAATATAATAAAGTAATTCAGCATTTAGTGAGGAAGAAACCCAATATGAGAATAGAATACAAACCTAATATATGTCAAGAATGTTGCTTCCTGTATATTAGCCTCCTTCTACTGCCCCAAGCAACCTATGGCATTGCCCTTAGCCAAAAGCTAAGCTTTCTACCCATTTAGCAGTTCAATTTCTTGTGAGGTGGGAGTTATTTTGCGTTCTGAAGAAAACTTAGTTTTATTTTAGGCACTCCTTTATAATGTTCCACAACTTTGATGGGCAGGTATTCAACTGATTATGGCATGTTTCACTTCTGTATAGCTGATACTGAGCATGACTGGAGGGAGGGATCTGAACAATATAGATTCATCGAGAATTGCCTTGCATCAGCAGACAGACGGAATCAGCCTTGGCTAATCTTTGCTGCTCATCGTGTACTTGGGTATTCCTCTAATGAGTGGTATGGTCAGGAAGGTTCATTTGAAGAGCCCATGGGAAGGGAAAGTTTGCAGAAGCTCTGGCAGAAGTACAAGGTGGACATTGCATTTTATGGCCATGTCCATAATTATGAAAGGTCGTGCCCTATCTATCAGGTATGGACTCTAGCAAAATAAAAATCATTTTTTAACGGTCGAATTTAGATTATATGCTTTGGAAACCATGCAATATCATCAGGGACCATGTTATGAAATATTTTTCCATGAATTACTCTGTAAAACTTGCAAAAAAGTTGATGGCTGCATTTAGTGTAACCCCTAATAATTTCTGTAGTTTGTTGTGCATGCAAGAGCTCTTATTGTGTAGTTATGTATTCTTTAGAGTTAGAAAGGTACAAATTGTATAATTTTAAAATTATGGTCTGGCCAAATACAAAGCTTTGTGCTCGGGTTGTGATAATATAAGTTACATTTTAAAACTTCGAAGTTCCTTGATTAAGTGATGCTGCTTGTTTTATTTTTTTAGGCCTATGGTTTCCCAGGTGTTGAATACCTAGCTTCAGACACTTAATGACATTTCCTTATCATTTGATTTCCATTGTGGTGCTGCAGAATCAATGTGTGAATTCAGAAAAATCTCATTATTCGGGCACAGTTAACGGGACAATCCATGTCGTCGTTGGTGGGGGAGGGAGTCACCTATCAAAGTTCAGCAGCTTGATCCCCAATTGGAGTCTTTACCGGGATTATGATTTTGGATTTGTCAAAATGACGGCATTTAACCATTCTTCTTTGCTATTTGAGTATAAAAAGAGCAGTGACGGCAAGGTTTATGATTCCTTCACCATTTCCAGGGACTACAGAGATGTCTTAGCTTGTGTGCACGATAGCTGTGAATCAACCACTTTGGCATCTTAAATCATCCAAATTTAATTGCAGAAATCTGCTTCCTTTGATGCTTCTATTTATGTCAATTTGTAGCAAGTTGTAAAATTTTCTTAACACAATAAACGAATAAAATATTTTCTCTATCATTCTTGAAAAGTCTAGTCAAAGAGGATTCAATGCTGACAGAGCTCTTGCAAGAAGTATAAAGCAAAGACTTCACTGACTTCAGTACTCAGTTTCTCTTCAAAGGAAACTGGAAGTAGCCGTCACCCCTGCCAAAACTAAATGGAGAATATGCAAGAAACTCTTACAGCTTATTTTAAGTATCAACAAATTTTTCAAGACTCCTCATTTAGACTTACCTTTGAGAACCTACGAGAATAGCAGCTGCTTAGACAACGGCTAAGAAAGAACAAAAAGTAAACAATTTCCTATTGATGTAGATCTGACGAATGAAAAGAGATGAAACGTATTGTATCATCATCACCAAAAAGCCACACTATTATAATTAAGGTTATTTGGTACAATTCAAAATTGTATTGTTTTAAATAAGCATATGTCATATTTCTGAGCTGTGGTACAATCTCTGCATAGCAAAGGTGCCTACAAGAAAACTCAAAAAGATATATACATAAAAAAGGGTTAAAAAATATCTCCATAAAAGGTGGCAAGAATTACATTCACCTGCTGCTTACTGGAATCATACAAAACTTCCTAGCTGTCAGTTTGCTAGATACACAAAAGTCATAAACCATTGATGAGAACCATGCGCAATCACCATCCTCCAGTGAGTGACATTTGCTTGCTTTATGGAGGGCAGTGGGCAAAACTATGAAAGAAACCAGCAGTCACCATTACTCCGTCAACCGACCATCTCCACATCATCAAGTTTGTTTTCTTGATCATTTGATGAGCTAATAGAAGCTAACAGATCATCAAATTTTAGCGGTGCATGTCGAACCATATACTGAAATATAACCTGCAGTGCAAATTTCAAAAGGCATGAACAACAGTGTTAAGACAGACACTAAAAGAAACTCAGATGTGGGGAGGCAAGGATAGAAACACAGTAAACCAGCTAACCAAGGACACAAACACACAAATCTAAGACACTGTTCAAAATCAAATAATAATTTATTCTCGTTTACAATTTCAGGGGATTGTTTTCACACTTGCGGAATGGTTCTGACCTTAGAGTAACTATCTGCAAACATGCGTGCTCGATTGGTCTTGCCAAGATAATGTAAATCAGCCTTCTCAAGCTTCCCATCCACAAAACTCAATCCTCCATCACCAATGGCAAACTTTAGAAGACTACCAGAATGTAGCTCTGACTGAAAATTCAAAAGATAAAAAATAACAAATATCAATGAGATTGGCATGAACATATGATGAAAAGAGAGCACTAGAAACATCCTAAGCAATGCATTGTATGAACTAATTAGGCATATAATATCAGTGCAATTAGTTGACAACAAAAGTGACAGGACTTGATCCAAGCATTTATTATGATTACAATGAAACACACCTTCTGTATGAATTCCCTATCTAAGCAGCCAAAGTTGACAGCAGGATCATCTGATGTAGATAGTTTTCCATCATCTTGCAGCTCCAAAACTACCTGATATTAAGAAAAAGAAAAAAAATATATATATAAGCAGTTGGTCACAAGACTCACAACATGAAAATAAATTTTAAATTTTAAGTTCCATACACGTGAATTCATATGTGTTCATCAGACAATGACAAGTTGTATGAACCTTTGATGTTTAACATTATAACTAAAGTTTCCCTCTATGGTAACTTGTCCTATTCAGTCCAAAAGGATCACAATTTATGGTCGTAAAACCATTGTCACTAAACTCTATACAGTTCTACTATTAATAACAGAAATGAATTTTATATTATTTTGATCATGAACAGAATACATCCAACAAAGTATATGTGCACAGCAATCCCAGGAGTACTAAGAATCATAAGCTATTAAACAGTTGGCTCCTGTTGCAGAAACAAAACCTTTTGAACGTTCACACTTGACAATTAAAAGAAATCCATCACTCAAAAGTCAACACGGAACAATACATGTCAAACTTCATAATTTCTGGAAAATAAGAAGATACCCATTTATGAAACAATTCAACTGAAGGAGAGGAAAACATAAAGGAGCACAGGTAAGTGAGGCTTGCAACTTTAACCTGTTGTTGGCTCGGAATGTCTCCTTTACTATCGGTGTCAATTACATATTGACTACAGTGTTCGTCCTTCCAGACTAATGCTAGAGGTGTGTTTCCAGTTTGATAATGTGCATACCTGAGAGGGAAACAATGCAAAATACCATCAGAGAAAAAGAATTTAACGGATCAAAGAAAGTGAATAAGTCAAATTTGATAGACAACTGTGAGATACTAATCAGTTCCAACAATATGAAAGCTAAAAAATTTAAATAAATGACAATAATAAGCATGATGTTCAAGGTGACAGAACAACAACATTATAGAACAAACCATCCCTAAGTGCCAGTCCAAGCAGTCCAGCATAATACTAGGAGTTCTAAATTTACTCTTCGTAGGTAACAGATTTTTTCCTGTTAATAAAGTGGGAGGAATACTAGCCCTTCTGTATTTGAAAATTTTATTTGCTACAGAAGACCTATCACTCAACTAACTGCAAGCTGGAAAAAATTAAAGCTTACACCCTTGAGGAAAATAACGTACTTGTTATAAAACAATAGCCCATCCTTGACATAAGACACCACTCCTGTATATGCTGCATAGAGACCACTCTGGTCACAATTGAATACAGGTACGGAACTAAATCTGAATTTATGGTAACGAGAAGGAGAATCACAGGCCCCAGTCTCAGCCAGCTTGGAGTTCAACCAAAAAAACCTGAACTCAGCAGTGCAATCATACAGNGAGGTCTAGAGAGTTAAATTTCCCAATAAGATAATGAATCTATATATAGTAAGCATCCAGTGAAATTTTTTAAAGAATTATTTAATTCCTTTTAGGATATATTATCTTTCATAGATAAAAAGGAATTTTCCTAAAATATAATGATTTCATAATACCTTTTATCAATAATATAATATATCAAATCATTTTATTTAGGATAATACTAACCTCAGAACCCCTCTATTAACCCAATTTAATGGACAAACTCCCAAATCTACAAGGTTCATTATATGTTATAATGTTAATTTATAAGTAGGATTGTACCTGTGTTATGTTGTGAAATGGAAATAAATTAGATTGAATCTTATAGTGCTCGAATTTCCCAAGAGCAAATATACAATTTCTCTATTGGATATTACTTGAACTGTAAATAAATAATCCGTGATATTCTCCAAAATAAGAAGTAGAATCAACATTGAATGTAGAATCTAAGGGAATAAGTAAGCAAGCGAAAATAAGAAGTGAATAAATAGAATCAAAAAACAATGAAATTTTTTTTCTTTTTTAATTTTAAAAAAAAATTAAAAAATACAAAAAAAAAAAAAAAAAAAAAAAAAAGACCAAAAAAAAAAAAAAAAAAAAAAAAAAAATTTATTTTTTCACTTTGAACTTTCTTTAAAAACTATGAAGAAATACAAATTAAATATTAGTTGCAGTGTTTGTAGAGGGAAACAGAAGCAAAGATCTAAGCTTTCATGCAGAAGAATGAGATGCGGTTCGAGTTTGATGACATTCGAGAGGAAAGAGGGAAACTTGATGGGTATTATTGCAAAGAATGAAATAGCCATCACGACATTCAAGAGAAAAGTGAGAGACTTGATGGGTATTATTGGAAACAGTGAAGGGTACATTTGGTACACTTTTTTTAATAGGATTTCTGAAATCCTATTCTGAATAGGATATGATAGGATTCTAAAAATGTATTTGGTACATTTTTGGAAAACATTTTTGAAAATATTTAGATTATTTTTTAACCTTGTACATTTGTTAATTTAACTAAACACCCACACAAAAAAAATTTATAAATTAACAAAAACACCCTCACCCACCCAACTGATTGTTGACAGCCAGCCACCACCACCGAATAGTGGCCGACAATCACCGAAATGGAAAACAACCAATTGGATTTGGCCGATTGTGCACCGATCTAGCCGTTGACAGCAACCATATCTTGGTCGTAGATCTAGCTGTTTCCAACCATATCCATGGTGGATTTGGTCGGAAAGGACCAGATCGGCACATGATTGGCCAGATCCAACTGATCATGCGTCGTTCCAACTTTGGCAATGGCAACCAACAATGGTTGCTAGCAGGCAACTATTGCTTAGGTGGGTGGGAGTGTTTTTGTTAATTTATAAACTTTCATTAAGAAAGGTAATTGTTCAATGTTTTGAGTTGAATAGAATATGATTGGATTTTATATTAAATAGTCAATATTAAAATAAACACATTTTTTCACTTTTTAGGATAGGATAGTAGAATATAATAGGGTTGGAAAAATTAAACAAACAGAAAGGGAAATAGCCAGAGAGCATGATGAGTATTAGTGAAAACAGTGAAAAAGTGTGCCTCATGATTGAGCTTTTGGGCTTGCCTGTAGTGTAATCGAGCCCGAGCTCAATTTTGATTCGAGCTCAGCTAGAGCTCGACTATTATTCGAGTCGAGCTCAAGCATGCCTTCTGGGCTTCAAGTTCAAGTTGGAGACCCACCTTTCTCAACTCGATCAGCTTAAGCTCTAACTTTTTCAATCGAGCCAAGCTTGAGTCGGCCAATACTCGACTCAACTCAGCTCGATTGCAACCCTAATGTCAAAATAGGTATGCCCATTCGGAAACCTCAACACTTTAATGAAGATGAAAAATGTCCATTTACTTTCCCAAGAGTTAGAACTACTAGAATAAAAACAAGCACAAGTCACGCTTAGAGTAGCAATGTACCAATATAGGATTACCCTTTACTGTGACACCAAAGTCAAGCAAAGAAAATTATCTAAAGGAAATTTGGTGCTATGCAAAATGATCTTGAACACCTAGGATTTCTCTTAAGGTACATTAGGTTCGAATCAGGAAGGCCTTAACTTGTTAAAAAGGCAATTCGACTAATGACTTAAAAGCTAGCCCAACTCAATGGCGAAGAGATGAAGTGCCCTTAGAATGCTTAGATGTTGAGGAAATATTAAAAATAATCTCTTTAAATATTAGATAGTAGAATTAATAAGGATTGTCCCCTTTAGACCCCAAAGTATTTAAGCTTGGACTTGTAGTTGTAATAATAGAAGAAGATTTGAGATAAAATCTGGTATATTTGTCTATTGAGATGATTCTGATATAAATACACAACAGAGTATTGAAAGCTAAAACTAACAGACCTGAACCCACTCCTATATACAAGTAACAACTTAAAGATAAGATACAAAAACAAATTACAAATTCATAATGATTTAAATACAAAGTTGAATCTAATCAAATTATTCCAATAGAAGCAGTCTTCAATAGGAGAGTCCTCCTTTATGCCCCCTTAAGATGGAGCTCAACAAGAGAGACCAATCTTGTCTCTAAGAAATAGAAAACGAGTTTGGGAAGCGGCTTTGTAAGAATATCAGTGAGTTGATCTGTGGAGGATACATGAGCAATTCATAAATTCCCATTTTACACCTGGTCACGAATGAAATGAAAATCGATAGCAACGTGTTTCATCCTAGAATGAAAAATAGGATTAAAGCACAATTTAGTGGTTCCAATAGTATCACAGTAAAGCACTGGGCATGTAGGAAGCTGAAGTCCAATATCAGTTAATAAGGAGCAAACCCAATTTATTTCAGCAGTTGTACTAGCAACAAACTGGTACTCTGCCTCAGTAGAAGAACAAGCTGCTGTTCTTAGCTTCTTGGAACTCTAGGAGATAGGATTGTAGCTAAGATAGACAATATAAGCACTAATGGAGGAAAAGTCATCTTTGTTCCATTCCCAATCGGCGTCAGAGAAGGCGTGCAAAGAGATGGGAGAGTCATGATAGAGATGAAGTCCATGATTAAGAGTGCCATAAAGATATCGTAGTAAACGTTTGACAAGAGCCTAGTGTTCAGTAGTTGGCTTGTGCATATACTGAGGCAATTTATTAATAGCAAAAACAATGTCAAGGCGGGTGAGCAAAAGATATTGTAGACTATCCACATCAGCACAAAAGTTGGTAGGATTAGATAAGCTAGTGCCAAAGTGCAGCGAAAGTGAAGAACTGGTGGATAGAGGAGTTTGCACGGGTTTACATCAGAGATATGAGTACGAGCAAGAAGGTCCAGTAGATAACAATGTTAGGAAATCAAATAACCATGTTGATTTGGAAAAACCTCGACACCTAGAAAATAAGAGAGCAGCCCAAGGTCCTTAAGAGAGAATCGCCTAGCTAATAAATAAACAAATCAGTCCACTATTGTCACATTATCTCTAGTAAAAATTAGATTGTCAACATAAACAAGCAAATACAGGATATGCCCACCAGAGTTGAAGACAAAGAGAGATGTATCAGCATGAGAATTTTTAAAGCTAGATTGAAGAAGAAAAGTATGGAGTTCTTGATACTAGGTACGAGGAGCTTGCTTTAGCCCATAGATAGCTTTCCATAGTTTACATACATGTGATGAAAAATCACGATCAATGAACCCCGATGGTTGACTCATATACACAGCTCACTGAGGTGACCTTGCAAGAATGCATTATTAACATCAAGTTGATGAATGGACCAATCGTAACTGATGAGAAGACTCAGAATAAGTCGAATGGTGATAGGCTTAACCATCGGACTGAAGGTGTCATGATAATCAACTCCCAATCGTTGATGAAAACCCTTAGCACCCAAGCGAGCCTTAAACCTGTCAATGGAACCATCAAACTAACACTTAATATGAAAAATCCATTTTCATCCAACAACATTGTGACTAGGATTAGAGGGTGCTAGTTCCCAAGTACCATTCTAAACAAGAGCATCATATTCTGCAGACATGCCTTACGCCATTTTGGATCTTTGAGAGCCTAGGTTGGTGTTGTGGGTTCAAGGTCAAGAGATTTGGATAGTTGGGTATGAAGGTTTAACTTTTGAATAGATTTATGAATGTTATTTTTGGCTTGTGTTTGCATTTGATGAATTGGTCTAGGTGTGGTGGGTGTGGGTCAATTAGGTTGAGTGGTGATAGATGAGGAATATGTGGTGTTTGGAATTGTTTATTTGGTTTATGAGGATAGTTGATTTTGTTAGAGCTTCACATTGGATTTGTTGTTGTGTGTCAACTTCGGATGGTGGCATGAGTGACAGTGGAGTGTTGTTAATTTTAATTATTGCTGGAATCCAAGTAGAAATAGTGGTAGACTCTGGACGTGCACCTTGTGTAAATAAAGTTGCAAAAGGAAAAATTGATTCAATGAACCTAACATGCCTAGAAACATAGATTTTTGATGTTGATGGATCATAACAATAATAGGCACTTTGAGTCAGAGAGTACCCGAGAAAAACACAAGGTTTGGAACGTGAGTCAAGTTTGTAAGAAGTGTATGGACAAAGCTAGGGATAGCATAAGCAGCCAAAAAAGTTTAAGTTTCGAGTAGTTAGGAGAAGCACCAAAAATCTTTTCATAAGAAGAAAATAGGTTTAACGTTGGAGTTGGCATACGATTGATCAAATACATTATAGTAGCAAAAGCATTAGACCAATAAGTTAATGGAATAGAGGCATGAGAGAGTAAAGTAAGACATGTTTCGACAATGTGGAGATGATGTCGCTCAGAAAAACCATTGTGTTCTGGTGTGCGAGGTGGAGTAGTGAGATGAGATATACCATTAAGAGCAAGAAATTTAGCAAGTGCAACATATTCACCACTATTATCATAATACAACTTATTGATGCTTTCATTGAAGTGTTTTTCAACTTATACTCGGTAAAATGATCAACAAAGATAAAATAATATTTAAAGTCATCATAAGAAATAACTGGTGTTCCAGACATAAAAATATATATATATATACATTTGAAGCAGTCAATTTGAAACAAGAGTAGAGTTGGAAAACGAGAGTTTGTGACTCTTATTGCAATTACATGCAGTACATGAAAAATCAGAAGTCATGGAAGATGTTAAATCTAAATTGTGTTGGAGTTGGTGCCTTAGAGCCAATCAATTATTGTAGAATTGACTCTTTGTAATAATGTTTATTAATCTATAAAAAGGCATTTTCTACTGTATCATGTAAATGATATCTATATGTATTAATATATGTTTTTAGGATGGTAAAACCGTGACGAAGGTATCAAGTGTTCCAAATCTTGATAGTGAGAACCCTATTATCACATATGGTGGCCATTCTAGAAATGTCTGTAGCCCCAGTATTATTCTGACCAAGGACACAGATAATATGGTAAGGCTATCATAGCGTTAAACGACCCTGTTGAAAGGCAATGACTAATCCCACTTGTCAAGGTTGTTTGCCGACAATCTGGTGCAATACATGGGTGCTTGTTGTAGGCAAGTTCATTGGACTGACCCACCAGAGGATTCCATATAGATTGTAACCCTAGTGTCTATGGAATAAATCCTCTAACGAATGATAGTGTATGTGATCCTTAGACTTGAGATCACCGGAGTGCCTTATGCACCGATTGGTGTAGTTTGACACTAACCCAATGCAATTATATTCAGAGCAATCAATACGATAGTGATTGGCTGCATCGAGGAGTGTATCAAGACTATGGTAGATCGACAGATGGATTCATCACTCTCGGGTACGGGAGAAGTTATCTTATTGCGTAATTCAGTAAATGGCAATGACACTAAATCTGCGGCCACAGTGGGATTGAGTTGTTGCTCAATCCAATTTATTTATCCAGTCATTGGTCCAATAACTGAATACAAAGATATTGAGAGTAACTAAGGTTGACACTATTTTCGTACCTCAAACTTGATGAGATAACAAATTATCAGAGGATTTGATTGCACGATAATTATATCAATGATAGGTAGCTATTTCGCTGAATCCGAATCTATCTGGTGGCCATGATGCCTTGCTATGAGCCAATCTTGGTCTGTGTGTAGTGAGACGATCAATTGGTGTTAATCGTAATACTACTCATTGCCGATATGATAAGGAGCCTACGAGTCATACACTTAGAAGATAATTTAATACTGGTTTTGTTCAAGGGGTATTTTTGTCTTTTAGGATGAAATGATATTTTGGTAATCTCATAGTGCAATTAAATTTGCTGAGGTTGTTGTCTGCATTTAATTAGTGAGATTATATTTAAATATATGTATGCATAAATTTAAATAAATTATTATTATTAATTAAATGTTAATATATTTAATAAATATATTAATTGATTTTAATTATAATAATAATTAATTAATATTTAAAGCACCAAAACAAGGGTGTTTGGATATAAAGGCTGATTAGGGCTGGAGTGTAACGCCCCACTTGAGGTACGTAGCTAATGTCTCTTACTTCGCTCTTAATTGAGTTGGTTTTTGTGAATAGTGGTTGGTTGGTCTTAGGTTGTATTGATATGTTGAGTTTTTGCCTTGGATTTAGTCAAAGTTAGAAGGTTTTTGATGTTACAGGGCTCGTCGGGGCGAAGGATACTCTTCGCCGCGGCGAAGAGGTGCTGAAGCCACGGGGGGAAGCTACTGGACAGTTTCGCCGCGGCGAAGGAAGCTTCTTCGCCGCGGCGACGTGCCGGTTGAAAAGTTTATTAAGTTTTAGATATTTTTCCCTTAGGTACTATTTGACCATTTTACCCCTAATTAGCAGGAAAAGTGGGGAGTAAAATGTAAGAAAATTTCATGGAGAATATGTTGGTATGGGGGTGTGTTTGTAAGGAATCAAAGGATATGGATGGAATTTCCAAGAAAGAGCAAGGGTAAAATGGGAAGAATGAGTTGTTAAGAGATATTTAAGGGGGTTTAGTCTTTGAGAACCTTTCATTTTCCCATTCCACCGCCTCCTTCATTCTCCAAATTCTCTCAAATTCCTTCAATCTTCCAAGGATTTCCAAGAGCCTTTTTGAGTAACTTTTAGTAGGGTTTTAATCTAAAGCATCCTAAGGTAAGGATTCTTGCTTTAGATGAGAGTTTTATTATGTTTTGATTAGAGTCTTATGTTGTGGTTGTTGGTTAAGTTGTAGAGAAAAGGCAAGCTCCCAAAGGAAAGAAGAGTGTTAAAGAAGCTTTTTCCCTATAAGGTAAGTAAATTCAATCTAAGTTGAGATTTAAGAACTCTTTGAGTAGAGATATATATATATGTGTGTGTATTCATTAGATTTGTTGAATGAGATGAATGAGATTAGTAGTTATGAATGAGTAATACACATAAATTGAGTTATGAGAAGTGTTTTATTTGCTTGGTGTTGGGTTGAGTTTGACTGAAGTTGGAGGAAGTTTTGAGCAAGCTTATGGAAGTGTTTTTCTTTTGACAGGAAATTTAAAGTTTATGAGGGAGTTTCCTCCCATTTGGTTGATTAAATAAAAGAGAAAAGTTAGAGTTAGAGTAGAGTTTTATATGCACATGAGTTGTATGATGAAATGCTCAAGAGAAGCATAGGTAGAGTAGAAAGCCTTAATTTTTGCTACATGGCATAATTGCATCTCATAAATGTATTAATGAGCATGAGTCATTTATGTGCATTAACTATGCATTAAGTATGCACTAGAGAAGAGAGTAGAGAAAGAGTAGAGATTTTGAGTTTAAGCTACTCTAAGAGTAAAGAGAAAGAGAGAATAAGCACTATAGAGTAAAAGCTAGAGTAGTGCTAAACAAGAGAATAGAGTAGGTTGTGCGATGGGGAACCTGTGAGTACGGGTAGAGTATTCCCGCATGTACGCCGCATAGAGAGAGCGGCAAGAGTATCAGAGAGAGAAGTGGTGTAGCTCGTAGAGTACATGCGGATGAGGGCTATACCCGAGTTTACCCGAGAGATTCTATGCACTCACATGGCCAAAGGTTCCGAATCCATGCATAACCAAGTCCGATCGGCTAGAATGAGTAGAAGTCACAGGGAGTGGGAGCGAGTCCCAACCGTGCCTCCAGTCAGATGGGGCCGTGACTTACTAGAAAGAGAGTTAGTATAAAAGAGTTATAGGAAAGAGAAAACAGAGAGTTGTATAAGAGAAAGAGTTAATAAGAATTATAGGGAAAGAATTAGAGAGAGAGTTACGGGGACTTTTGAGTAGAGGGTTTACTTACTGAGCATTGTTTTGTGCTCATCCCGTTGTTCCCTATGTTTTTGCAGGTTCTAGATGAGGACACGGTCGGATGGACATCGGCACACGAAGAGAATTGGCTACACTGTCCACCCTATTTTGATAGTTTTGGCATATGCTACAAATCTTGTATATATTTGTATAAAGAATACATAGGTTTAATAAAAGAAAATTTTGGGCCCAACTTTTTATGTTATTTTTACATGTACTTTTACTATGCATGTTTTTATGAGAATGGAGTCGTTACATGGAGCCCATGCCTATTCCATATAGGAATAGGGTTTTAACTCTAGCACTATATTATAAGTGCAAGTTGAGTTAAAATATCCATTCATTATTATTCTACCATTATTGAATAGAAAAGGCAGCCACCCTTTACGCTTTCTCCCTCACGTCCTGTCCAAACATTGAAGAGAAAATCTTGTCTTCTTGATTCTTTAAACAACTTGATTCTTGAAGCCATTAAGTGGATCTAGCAAATCCCTTTTTGGTTCTTCATATTGTCTTTGTGTGGATCACCGTTCGTGCGGTTCTACACTGAATCGATTACGAAATAAATTCAAACACAATCGAAGGAGCCTCCAAACATGCATAAGATTTCTGATCCTTTTAATGGATTGATATTATTTTTGTGCAGAATTTGATTTAACATGTAAACTATATAGTCTATACCCAGATCTTGGCATAAAAGGAATCAATTCATCCTTTTGATTTTTGTTTTTTTGCTGCATTAGGTAGATCGATTCCCAACAAATTGTAACTAGAAACATTGTGTTTTAAAATAGGAAAGGTAGGATGGCCCAATCGGTACTGCCACTCGAACGAAATGGTCTTGACACTTGAGAATGCAAATAGTGGGGAGAATACCGACCACTCATATATACCATCTTTAGTTTGACCCGTCAACAACATTGCCCCCGTGTGAAGTTCCTTCACAAGAAAAGAATATGGTAAAAATTCAATGGAAACATTGTTGGAAATGCAAAATTTGGAAATTGAAATAAGGTTCTTTTTCATGATAGATACACAAAGAAAACTATTTAAGGTAAATCAAGCATTGGAAGTTCTGAGAGAAGTGGAACCAATGTTAGTTATTAGGAGACCCGTACCATCTCCAATCATAATGTCATTAGAACCTACGTGTGGTGCATGAATGGAGAGATTGCTTAAGTCGGAGATGATGTGATGAGAAGCACCACTATCCAAAAGCCATGTTGGAGTATTGGATGGATTGGCCGTATAATGAGCTCGTGGCTACGAGAATGAGGATGGTGATTCTGTGGTGGTGGTGGATTGTGCAACTAGGACTAGACGAAAGGAGGAACATCGTCTAGCTATATGTCCCTGAATTTTGAAGATTTAATAGTAGCCAAGATAGGGTCGTGGTGGTGGACGAGGTGACTTAGGCTCAAAGTTGGTAGATGTAGGGAAGGGACCAGAGCTGGGCGACCAGCGCCAGCCCGTTTTGTTAACTCCGAGTTTGAATGAGGAACACCAACCAATATTGGTGGGATTAGATGAGGGTAAGCCACTAACTTGTATTGGTGCGACTGGCAAGATTAGTGGAAGCTAGGAAATAAGAGGGAACAGATTTGGTGCATTGAAGAGGTGATTCGAAACTTAATAACTTTTCATGAAGTTCATCAAATTCAATTGGATTGTCTCTGGCTTGAATTGCACGCACAAGCTCTTTGTAGTCATCACCAAGGCTATCAAGTATTTTCTCAATTAGATCTTCATCATCAAGTGGTGCTCCAAGGATCGCAAGTTCATCGGCGCGAGCTTTAACTATCGATAGGAATTCAAAAATAGTTTGTGAGTCCTTGGTGAGATTTTTAAGTTGGCTTTTTACCTGTTTGATTCGTCCCCAAGAAGGCTTGCCATAAGTATTGGCTAGTATAGTCCATGCTTCCCTTGAAGTGTTAGCTCTAGCAATGAATAAAATAATGGTAGGAGAGAGATAACCAACAATGGCATTGAGGATTAGTTGATCCTATCGAATCCAAAGTGTGTGACCTGGATTCGATATTGTTGTTTCATTCTGAATAATAGTTGCAGCCGGGCATGGTTTTGATCCGTCAATATACCCAAGTAGATCGTATCCAATGAAGAGAGTCTGAAATTGAAGTTTCCAGAGGATACAGTTATTACCAATGAGTTTGAGAGGAGCTTGAGCAGCAATGTTAATATTGATTAAAGTATTGTGTGATTTGTTGGTGTTGTTGATGGAAGTGTTTGGTGTTGTGAGCAGAGGAAGTGTTGGTTGCCATGGTGGTTGCAATGATGATGAGTTCAAAAAAGAAAGAAGAAAAAAAATCAATGCTCTGATACCATAATAGAAGAAGATTTAAGATAAAAGTCTGGTATATTTTTCTATTGAGATGATTCTAATATAAATACACAGCAAACTATTGAAAGCTAAAATTAACAGACCTAAACCCACGCCTGTATACAAGGAACAACTAGAAGATAAGATACAAAAACAAATTACAAATTCAAAAAGATTTAAATACAAAGTTGAATCTAATCAGATTACTCCAGTAGAAGCGGTCTTCAATAGGAGAGTCCTCCTTTATGTAAGTTGCTTTGTTAATTTTTCTTTACATTTTTCTTCTCTTGCACTTATCCAAAATTTATAAATTAGTTTGATGCATTCAAATTTGTTAATTATTATTCTTACAATCTTTGAAGTAAAAACACACGTGAAGGGATTTCATCTCTAACATTACATTCAAAATAAAAAGTATAAAAAATGTTAAGCATACAAATAAATAAATAAAAAGTATTTTTAAAGAAAGATATTTGCATATACTAAAACATTTTAATAGGATAAACTTAAAACGAACAATAACATGTGAGGGGCCAATAACATTACTCTAAATTTAATTTTTTTTATAAATTTTATTGCTTAAGTATTATAATATTATGTTGTTAAATATTTGCATGAAATGTGTTTAATAGAGTAGTTTACTAGTTTAGCTTTATATTTAAAGGTTCGCAGTTTAAGCCTTTTTATATATCAATTTATTCGAAAGCAAATTTAACTTGAAATGTCAATATGCCCTAATAAAGGCAAGTTTAACTTGAAATGTCAAGCGGTAGTTTCAGTAGTTAGTGATGGTAAAGTTTCTCAAGTTTAAGGGGTATCATTTCTTAGTCCTAAGTTTAAGGGGTGTATTTTCATCAGCCCTATTTTAAATCCTAATATTTTAAAGCATCACTAATATTTTCTTCTTAAGAGGCGTTTGGTTGGGAGATATCCCCGTTTGTGAGGTAATGTCATCTTATATTACTTATATTACCACACTTGGTTATCAAATAATATAAGATTATGGTAATCTTTTAAAATCAATAATAATTATTGTTGGTTATATAGATGATAATCTAAATACCATCATTTTCTTAGGTATTTTGAGATTACTAGGTAATCTTATTTTTATTATAATTTTACCCCTTATAAATAAAATTTTAGGACAATAATGCCCTTATTTTGAAATTAATTTACAAGAACCTACCATTACAATTTTACCCTTTATTAATTAAGTTTTGGACAATAATGTCTTTGTATTTAAAACAAATTGCATGCCACATAAGACCACCGCCACCTGCCAGCTGTTGGCTACCACCACTGGCTAACGTCGTCGAAACAACGCATGACAGGCCAAATTTGGCCAACCGTGCACTGATCTAGTCATTTTTTGTCAGAAATGGCCAGATGGTCGTAGATCTGGTCGAAATATATCTAGCCGTTTCCAGCCAGATCAATGGAACGGCCACATCTGTGACTATTAACGACCATGGATCTGGCCATTCTAGTAGGAAACGACCAGATCTACGATCGACCTGGCCAAAAACAACAATATCGGCCCATGGCCAGCCAAATTCGATTGGTCATGTGCCATTCCGGCCACTTTCGCAGCGACTGGTTCCTAAGATTTGGAACCGAAAGCGAAACTAGTCGGTTTCGGTTCCTTGAACTGAAACCTGAAACATAGGTTCCAGTTTTGATTCCGGATTCCTAGTAAAATTACGTTTTACCCCCATTAGTTAAAAAAAATACCCCCCACCTATTAACAAAAATTACAAATAAAGCTTTCACCTCTAATTCAACTTTATGGAAACTAAAAATTACAATAAACTGTTGAAAAATCACAAATTCAAAATTCAAAATTCCAAAATTAAAATTATGAAATTACATAACATATAAAATAAGTATGATACCATATGGAAAATAGAGTAGATGTAATTAATTTGGTGGATGTGTCACTATTACTTGAAGTGATCCTTTCTAAGAGCTTTAAAATACATATTTGATGTGCAATACGCTTATAAAGTCTTGCATATAAAGTGATTTGTCATTATTCTTATATTTTTTTGTTAAGTGTTATTATTCTTATATTAACATATCATACAACCTTTATTATTATGTATTTTAATTTTTAATGCTAATTAATCTATTATTTCTTATTGTCACATTTGTATGAAAGTTATTGTGTATGAATTTTGTATATATAGTATTATTCATTAATATATATATATTAGCTGAATGGTCTAATCCAATTGAAAATTGAATGAAAAAAATTTGAGGATGCATTAGGGTTCTTTTAATTTAAATAATATTTTCAGTAAAAAGTTAAAATTGGGGTTAGATGGAGAATTAGTGAAAATTACCTATAAGTCCCTACAAGTTTGAAATCTTTCAAAAACACTCTAAACACTACCGTCGACGTTGACAAATAGCACCTGTTTTCGACAAATGGCACCAAAAAAAGTCCCTTCAACCTCCTGACTAAAACTCATCTCACCCCTCCCCGGTTCACCTCCCCAATTGCTGACGATAGAGGGATTTCTTTGGCAACACTGTTTTGCGATTTCCAGTCGATTCACTCACCAGAAATCAACGTTATTGCCACTATTGCACTCACCAACAGTAGGGCTGCAAAAATCCGGTTAACCGAACCGGATTCATGCATTTTGTAACCAAACTGGTTTTTCGGTTCAAGCCATATGACAAACCGAAACCGATCCGGTTTTTTGCATTAACCGGTTTGCAAACCGAACCGAATTTTTGGTTTGCAATCCGATTAACCGGTTTTATTAATAATTTTTTTTTTTGTCTTTTTTTTTATATGTTATGATAAAAAAATTCCTATTTTTGGATGACAATTTCAAGAAACCAAAAAACCAAAAGATCCACAACAATTTAACCAATTAATCACCAATTAATGCTACTGAATTCTTCTCATCTAAGCATAATAACTAATAATCACCAATACATTATCATAAAATACAAACTATTCCTTTAAATTTTAATGGTCAAGTACAAAAGTGATTGAGAAATAACAAGTGAAAGTTGTAAACAGGCATCTCCCCTCAACTTTAAGGCTCAAGCATTCTTCAAATGGACAAGTGCAATCACGGAATCACCTACAAGGGAATCACCTACAAGAGGAATGAAATCAGCTTTAATATTTTCTAAATAAAGAGAATGCATTTTTTTTCAGCAAATGTCACTGCAGAAAAATAAAATAAATACATAAATAATATGATATCAGCTTTAATATTTTCTAAATAAAGAGAATGATTCCATAGGATTCTTGTTTATGGTATCTTAAAGTTATTAACTAATTTGTACTCAACCCATTTAACTTTTATTGTTATAGCCCTATAGGTAGCCAGCGAGGTGACTTAACTAAAGGAGGTGAATGTCAAGTGGGTGATAAAGTGTTTTTGAGAGTTTCCCCTATAAGCGAGTGATGCGCTTTGGGAACAAAGGGAAGTTGGCACCGAGATTCATTGGTCCATTTGAGATTCTACAACGCGGGGGAAGGTTGCTACAGATTAGCACTACCACCAATAGGACAGGTGCATGAGGTTTTTCATGCTCGATGTTGCGGAAATATGTAAGTGATCCCTCCCATATCCTGAGTGTAGAGGATGTTGAGCTAGTAGAGAACCTTGTGTATGAAGAACGACCAGTACAGATTCTAGATCAAGAATTAAAGAGCTTCGGAACAAGAGTATTCGCTAGTGAAGGTTCTATGGAGGAATCACAAGATAGAGGAGGCCACATGGGAAGTAGAAACAAGAGCAGAATGCTCCCGAGTTGTTCGTATGAATTTCGGGGAAAAAATTCTTTTAAGGGGGAAGAATTGAACGCCCACTTGAGGTACGTAGTAATGTCTCTTACTTTGCTCTTAATTGAGTCGGTTTTTGTGATAGTGTGTTGGTTGGTCTTAGGTTGTATTGATATGTGAGGTTTTGCCTTGGATTTAGTCAAAGTTAGAAGGTTTTGATGTTACAAGGGCTCGCCGGGGCGAAGGATACTCTTCGCCGCGGCGAAGAGGTGCTGAAGCCACGGGGGGAAGCTGCTAGACAGTTTCGCCGCGGCGAAGGAAGCTCTTGCCGCGGCGACGTGCCGGTTGAAAAGTTATTAAGTTTTAGATATTTTTCCCTTGGGTACTATGGACCATTTTACCCCTATTAGCAGGAAAAGTGGGGAGTAAAATGTAAGAAAATTTCATGGAGAATATGTTGGTATGGGGGTGTGTTGTAAGGAATCAAAGGATATGGATGAAATTTCCAAGAAAGAGCAGGTAAAATGGGAAGAATGAGTTGTCAAGAGATATTAAGGGGTTAGTCTTTGAGAACTTCATTTTCCCATTCCACGCCCTTCATTCTCCAAATTCTCTCAAATTCCTTAATCTTCCAAGGATTTCCAAAAGCCTTTTTGAGTAACTTTTAGTAGGG